AGAGGGTCCAGTTGGACTTTGCCAAATTGGTACCTGTCACACTGAGCGTGGGAGAGTCCTATTAACTTGCTTCTGAATGGAGCGTTGTTCACAGAATCGTGGGTGCAGCCAGAGCCCTCTCTTCCCTGGCGGAGGTTCTCCTGTCCTGTCACTTTCACTGTGTGTGATGTCATCAGCAGCCCACTGAGGGGCTGCTCTGAGTTCTGAGGTCCAGACAGACACTTCGCTTCCCAGATTCAGTCCATTGGAACCGCCCTGGCTTCCTCCAAGCCAGTCCTCACAGGTTGGGAAACAGGCTGTGCTTTGAGAACTTTCTTTGTACCCATTCGAGACTTTGTGATATTTTCCCACTTAATGCACAGAGATGCGTAGAAATCTATTTCACAAATGATCTCTAAAATGATCTTTTTTGCTAGGTAAGGAAGCATTGTTTCACTGTTTGCCCTGAAAATTCTTCTTTGTATTCTTTTAGGTTTCTTTCTTTCTTTTCCCCCTAGGAGCCAAATCAAAGGTTAACAAAGCCATTGTAAACTGCTGTGATTTCACTTTTATGTTTGTAGGTGTTAGGGAAACATGATCATAACATGTTGATCTCAGCATCATTGTAAGCAGCAGTGTGCAAAGCTGTTACTGAAGATACAGGTGCAGTCCTGTTCCATGTGTGACGGCGTGAACACAATTTTCTGTAGTAGTGGAGGGTGGTGGGTGTCACTTGACATTGCTTAACTGTAGAAAAGGATTTGAGGATGCATTTGGGATGAGCTGCAGTTTCCTGATATGTGGTTACCCTGATGTTGCCTGACTTTTTAAAATCCAGTTTTAATGGAATGGGTCTCGGAGGTGTAGGCAGTCACCTAGTTTGAATTAATTCTCTGGCTATTCCCCAGTGTCAGGAAAAGCAGAACCTTAATGCCATACAGAGCGAGGAGAAACTGAGGCCCAGGCAGCCAGGTGTGCAGCTGCAGGCTGATGCTGCCCCGCTGTTTGGGGCTGGATCCCGAAGCCACAAGGAAACTTCAAATGGAGGCTGGATGAGTGAGTGGCTGCATACTTACGGCTGGCTAAGGCAGCAAAATAGTCCTGGGTGGATGGATCCTGCCCTCTGAAAAGTAGTACTTCGAGTTCACAAGTACTGCGCTGACAGTTCAAGGATGGACTTAGTCCTCGGACCTTTGAATTAGAACCGCTCTTCTCTGAAACACATTTTCAGCAAATCAGAAGGGGAGAAATATTTTTACATAGAGGAATGATGGTGCTTTGGACTGGTATTAGTGAGAGACTTCTAGGCATACTATAAAATATTTATTTACAAATTATACTTTGATACCAGAATATGCATATTTACTTTTATAAGTAACATATACTTTATTATACAAGCTCAACATTTGTATACATGTTCAATTTTATTCTTATGTATTTTAAACATATAAAATATATATTTTATATATTCCTATCTCTGTATATATTACTTTGTGAATGTATGAATGTATGAGTGTATTACTTGTACTTGAATGTAAGAATTACTTTGTGCTACAGTTGTTTATTGTCATAGGCTGGGTGGTCTACCTAACACACAGTTATTTCCCACTGGTCTAGGGCTGGGAAGTCCCAGTTCCAGGAGTGGATGTCAGGACAGAGCCCACAGCATGAAGGGGAGAGGGCGGAGGGCAGAGGATGAGTACTCTGGTGGTGCTCCCCACTGGGCTTGTGGACCCCAGGCATGCTGGCTCCACCTTGCAGCCTGGTCACCACCCAAAGACCTTACCCCTTAGCCGACTACACTGGAGCTAGATTTTCAACATATGGACGCAAGTATTCAGCCCCTGTGAAACAGAATAAATAGAAAGGAATCTGAGCAATTCCTTCACATTCCCCGAAGGACCACCATGGATAACCCTTGAGTACACACGCCCCTCGCAGGAGACCCAGCTAGCAAACTTGACAGATAGAAAGAAGGCAAGTGTGTTTTGAGGATTTGGGCACTGGGGCTATGTCTCCTTTCTTCCAATTTCATCCAAATTTCACTGGTGAATTATTATAAAATGAATTGACAAATAGTGACAAAGGTATCCATTGCAAATATGTAATATTTCCTAAGCAGATGCATTTGAATGAAGCAGGTCCTTTGCTTTTTCTCAGCCCTCAGTGTGAATTCCGATGAGGAACCTACCCCCTGTGGGGTTTCCTTTCCATTAGGGGGTGTTAAACACATCGGTTTCGGGAACTTTGTCCTGCAGGGCACCGATTCTGCCCACTTTTGTCGATAGAAAGTAAATTTTATTTTTGGGCAACAGACAAGATGTGCATACAGACTTGTGGTTCCTGCTTTAGCAAATTCTATACAGAGCTTGAGAATGCAAAGTTGAAAGAAGATTGCTGTCTGGAGACCGAGAGTACAAACGCAACTTGTTTATCAAAAATGGTTCCGTTTGGAGTTCCTCTAGATGTCAGTGTTACACAGGGAAATGAAGATTTGGTGGCCACGAAGACCTCACATTATTCAAATAGTAAAACATATGTGATACATAATTGACTCAGGAAAACACAGCCGCATTTGGAGCCTGGCTTCTTATATGCCTCAGCATCAACAGCTTCTCCCGTTGGTCAGGTCAGATTCTGTCCCTGAGGGGTGTGGGCACTGGACATGGACATTTATCCCAGACACTCAGATGGGCTGGGGACCAGCCTGGACCATCAGTGCTCCACAGTAAAAGTCTCAGTTGTGCATACACAGATGGTCTGAAATTGATCGGTATGCTCCAGCTCCCACTGGGAGCTTTTACCAGCTCCCACCTTTGCTTTTACCATGCGTTTATGCCTGACAGCGTAAATTTAGAAATGTAAAGTTTATTGATATACCAGATGTTTTCCCTTGAAGAAAGAGACACTGAAAGGCAAAATGTAGATACAGTTTCTGAAATTATCTTATTTGACTAATTTGGATGTATATTTTCAAAACTGAACATCTCTCACTTTTTGTGTCCTCCCATTCTGTGTTAATTCTAATCATTTGATGATTCTGTGTTTATCTCTTTACTCCTGTCATGTGTTTTCATTTTGGCCATTTCTCAATCTTCTTTCTCATCTCTTGTGGCGCCAACTGTGTAGCGAACAGTTTAGATAAATGTTAAGGCATAGCTCAACAGATATTAGTAACACAGCCCACCCAGGAGAGTTTCGTCTGCTCACCACAGAGCAGTAGGGCCATAGCAGCTGACCCATGGCCTGCATGCCACACCTGACCAAGTCACCCAGCAGCCGAGCATCAGCTAACTGCTGTTTTTTTCTAAACTAAAACCTCGATATTCAGGTCTAATTGCAGTGTTGGCACTTTGCAATAAATAAATGAGTTTGGAGTTGCAGTCGGGCCTTCAGTCTCTGAAAGGTTCGCTTCACTGGAATGGTGGATACACCCCTAAGAACTCAGACTGGAAACAACAACTGAGTTGGAATCCTGGTTTCATTTGTAGAATGGACTGATAGTCTCTATCCCACAGGTTGCTCGAAGGGAACCAAGTTAAAAATGTGAAGTTCACTGAAGAACATGGTTTGTAGTCTGTGCTGAGTGCGTTCTAGCTGTCACCAACACCATCATTATTAACTTCACATCACTGTCACCCTCATTATCCACATCACTCTGTGCAGATCTCTAGGCTAGTAACCAGAAGTACCAAAGATGAACCAGTCTCTCTAGACCTTAGAAGTCCACAGTCTGGTGGGAGATTGACAAGAAAAAAGGTCAAGAAAGTGTTGTCAAAGGTTAACCAGGATGGGGTCAAATCCCAAGTTTTGTTCAACCTAGAGGAGGAAGAGTAGCCAGTTTTGTGGAGGAAACTGAAGACCCTTCCCCCTTCTATCTCTGCACTTGGACTTGAAAAAGAACTCCGTAGCTCTAATCTCCAGCCTTGGCATCTTGCAGATCTACAAAACATGCCTCTGCTTTGCAAGGTCCTCATCTTAAAAATGAAACTACTCTGAGCCCATGGGATTTGCCCTTTGAATTGCAGAAGTCTGACGGTAATTTGTCTTGAAATCAATATTCTGCGGCTAGATGTTTCATGTTTGCAAATCACTCTGGCGGCAAAATGTGTTGTTTCAACTTTTAAGAAAATAAGACTGATCCTTCATATAGTTGTACAATTTCATTAGTTTATAAGATGTAACTTCAGAATTTGTGAAAATTTGGGTAAGTTTGGTTACTGTTTACCTTTTATGTAGCATTTTAAAGAGTTTGTAAAACTAATGCATAGAATCCAGGACTTCAAGAAGGATGTTTATCCACTTACCAGAACAATGAAAAGCCACACTTGTAAAGAAGCATACTACCTTTCCCTCCTTCTCTCTGGTTTAGAGTTCCTTCACCTATGTCCTCTCATTTTTACTGGATTTTTATGTGAACCATATCAAGACAATTTAAGCATAAGGCCAGGGTAAGACATGCACCATAAATATCCTGTAAGCTATTCATGAAGATGGGCCACCTTCTACAAACCCTGACAGAGTAGTACAGAATTTCTTTGAATATAAATACAAAAAGTTCATTTGCTTTCAGATCCTGCCATCTACAGAATTTTATTAATTGAGACTGATCCTCCTTCTGTAAGACTGAATTTTATGGAATTTTTCAATGTATAATAATAGTTATGTCCATACAGCTTCTCAGACTGGCACAATTTTATCCCCAGGGGACATTTAACAATCTTTAGAATCATTTTGTTTTATTACTATTGCATTTGATCGTCAAGGGTTCAGACAGGAATAATAGGTTTTGAGATCAACTGTACTACAGGGTGAATATAATCGATGCTGTATTGCATATTTTAAAGTGATTAAGAGGTGCTATGGGCATCTGGTGGCTGGAGGCCAGGGACACTGCAAAACACCCTGTGATGCTGATGATATTCCTCACAACAAAGAATTACCCAGCACCAGCTCTCAGTACTGCTGAGGTTGAAAAATACGGGACTGTCAGGTAACCTCAATTCCTTGTGTATCCACAGGCTGAAGAGAAGGCATGGTTGAACTCTGGCCTGGAAGAAAGGACACCGGTCAAAGGTGAAAGGTCATCAGTTGTCACAGGTAAATATCCTAAGAATATGAGATAATTCTGTTATCAGATTTCTGTGGTTATTCAGAGGAAATTACATAACAGATTACAGAGAGAAAATGCTGTTTTGTGAATATCTTTATCTGATTGGCTTTTGGTTCTAGTTACAAACAAGAAAATTGCTCAAAAAACCATTTGTCCATCAATTGGCTGTATTTTTGTACTTTGCTTTTAAAAGTTCATATCTGCTCTAGAAAGAAACCAGAATAGAGATGCCAATTTATGAAGCAAAAGTCATACCGATCATGTGTGTTCCCCATTAAAATATTTTGTGTCCTCTGGTGTCTTCCAGAGAGATCTACCGAGAACCACCACCTCTTCTCTGAGAACGAAAAGATTGATCAACTCAACAAGAAAAATTCTGAGAAGACCAGCACCTCTGTAGCCCAGCACGGCTTTAGCATATGCTCTACCGAAAGAGTAGGCATCGAGGAAGGCTTTGCTTCAAGAAATTCCACAGAACCAAGAGAGGAGACAGATGGAGAAGACGTTTCATGCACACAGAGCCTAAAGGGGCAGGAGGAGAATATTAGTGCTGGAGATGACAAGCCGGCTGCTGTGGATGAAGATGAATGTCTAAGGTTCGAAGGAGGGAAACATGGGCTCCATCCCAAGGAAGACACTGGGGGAAGGGCAGCTGAGGAAGGAGGATCAACAGCCACAGGCAGGACAGAGCGGGACCAGTGCTTACGTGGTCAGAGCAGTGCTGCTCAGTCCTGGGAAAGGTAGGGCTCCCGGTTCTGCAGAATGTGTGCGTGTGTAGGTCTTTCTGCCATTAGCTTTCCAGGTCTTAGGAGATGAGCGAAGAGAAGTTTTTTTTTTTTTTTTTAATCAGTACCAGGGATCGAACTGCCTGCTTGCAAGGCAGGTGCTTATGCTGCTGAGCTAAATCCCCAGCCCCACGAAGAGAGTTTTTAAGGAAAGAGTTCAGAATTCAGCTTCCGGTTGGCATGATGTTTCCAATAGCCACATTTTTGTTATTATTTCTCCTTGCTTGAGATGTTTCAGCTGTTCTGTTGTTTTCTTTTCTTTTTGTGCTGGCGATCACGCTGGGGCCTCACTTCTGATAAGCCCGTGCTCCAGCACTGAGCTGCCCCCCAGGTCCCATTTTGTTTTCTGCCAACTGGTTGACAAAGATGAGGATTATTAATTTTCTTGTAAATCAGTACTTTTAAAAGATCAAGTAAAAAGATGTTTTGTACATTTCATGTAGCAATATAGAACACATTCTTTCAGGGGTTAAGAGCTAAAACATGGCTGGGGATATAGCTCAGTGGCACAGGTGCCTGTCTGGCAAGTGTGAGGTCTTGAGTCCAATCCCTGGGACTAAAAAATAAAAAACAATTTAAAAGATTAATGTTGAGATTTAATTGTTAGTTAAAAATCTGTCTGAAAAACTTTACTTAAGTTCATTATGTGTGATAATTGGCCATTTCACCCAATCCCCAGGGTTGAAAGACTTTGCTTCCAACTGCCAAGTTTCACACATAAATTCAGGAAAATTTGTAGCCAATTAAAATGAATTGCTTTTAGTTTTGATGAACACATAGCATCTAATTAGAAAAAAGTGTATCAGTCATTTGTGTGTTCTTTTCTAGAGATTCAAGAATACTTCTTACTTAATTTTAAAATAATACATTTTAAACTAATCTTGATAAACCTAACTTTCTATAGATTAAGTGTAGACATTGATGGTTAAAGTACATCAGAATAAAGATGTACTTAGTATGATCAAGAACTGCCCGAAACCAGAAATTAGGTCAATCTTCCACCAATAAAGATTCTTTCATAGCTGCTAAATTTCAGGGCGGTTATTGCTTCTCTTGTTACGCTGCCATTCAGATGTCGTAAGGAGACAAAGCAGAAAGACTTGCAGCTCAAGTGAGGCTTCATACAGGGACTGTTTTGCGGAGTCAGTGGGGTAACGGGACATGACAGGTCTTGATGCTAGTGATTTACTTAGTTTGATGTGGGGAAAACACATGTTCTCATTTTGTCCCTGACACTGAAATGGTGTCTCTCTGTCACAGAACGAGTGCTCTCTACATCAGAAGACCATCGCCACAAAGTTTCAGTTTAAGAATTTTCACATTTTCTCCTTGAAACTTTGAGACCTGCAGCTGGATTTTATTTTCCAGGTGTCCCAGCAGCATAAAAGCTATTTCTACACTGGGAACCCGAAGAAATTCTGCAGCGGGATCCCCTTTGCAGAGCGCTGAGCAGGCAGAGTTGGGGGGCAGCAGTAAACGAAGAGTGACAGAGGAGTCCTGCGTGGGTGAGGACAACAAGAAGAGCAGGAGAGACACAGTGGGTCTGGGTGACGACAGTGCAACTGTAGCGACCCGAGAAGCCAGACAAGGCCAGATGCACGCACAGGGCGAAGCCCCGGAATCCACTGGAGTGAAGACCCCCAGGACGCAAGATCTGGTGGCCCCACTGGGTATGGAACAGCTTTGGTTTTGGCCTTTGAAAGCTTCTCAGCCTTTTCCAAGAAGCCTCCCAGCTAAGTTTCTCTTAGTCTAACAGCCTGCTGGACGCATAAGGCCGTAATGATACCGTGTGTGTGTGTGTGTGTGTGTGTGTGTGTGTGTGTTAAATATAAGCACACTTAAGAAAGTAAACCAGAAGAAATGAATCCCACCAAGAGTCGTCTCTCAACTTCATTCTTCAGTGTACTTCTGGTGTGAAAATGAATGGTCATATCAAAGCAGATTCCTAGAGATTTGTGTTACCTAAATATAAACGTGTTAAATTAATATTAAATTAAAATATTGGGGCCAGGGATTTGGCTCAGCAGCACAAGCACCTTCCTAGCAAGTGTGAGATCCTGAGTTCAATCCCTGGTCCAAAAAAAGAAAAAGATATTAATGTTTGATACAGTACCTAGAACAAGGTAAGTACTCAAGAAATGTCACATGTTGAAAGCAGAGCTATTCTCTACTCCCCTTTTTTTGTATCCTTGGTGTACACAAGTAGTAGCTGCTTAGGGTGTGAATAAATGGAGGATGAGCGGGTTCGAGGCCAGCAGATGTGAGCAAGAGTCCTCACGGGGAAGCTCCTCACGAGTGGGGAGCGGTGCATGGCAGGGCTGATGTCCAAGGGCTGGAGTTTATACCTATCGGATGGGAGGTGGAAAGCGGGAGAAAGTGATAGCTGGGAAACACACATTTCCCTAGTTTTATTGGGTGTTTTAGTTCCAGTCATGCAGGAAAGTGTCATCTGTGTGCCGTAGATGTATCTCAAATGAAGCCTAAAACATTTTGGCTAGTAATAGGTAGTATCAGTAACATGAAGAAATGTTTTACTTTCCTTTTTTCACTCCGCATTAATTAGAAGAATGAACTATGATATTCAATTTTTTAAAAAAATTGAATAATTTCTCATGTTTGACTTTAAATAGTCTTGAGCTTGGAAATCTCTTTTTCTGTGTGTGATGCTGGGGACTGGACGTGTGCTAGGAAGTGCTCTGACCTGAGCTACCCCTCTCCCCCGGAAGTATTACCCATCTGAACTGTGGTGGGGCAAGATTTTTTGACCCTCTTGACATTTCTAAAGGTGTCCTGAAGACGGTACAAATGCTAGGTGAGTTGTGCTGACATTCTTTCTCAGAGATGTCGCCTTTCACTTCATGAGTCACAAGTCACAATATGAGATGAAAATTTACATTATTGGACCTTAGGGGTGAGACAGGTGACATGTCGTATATTATCATTAAGCAAATTTTAACTACAAGACCAAATGCATGATGCTAGAAAGGGGTTAGACTGCTTGACGGCAGCTCTTCTTTTTCTCTAATCTTTTAGATGACAGCCTGGCCCCCGCTGCCCCATTTGATCATCGTATTGTGACAGCCAAACAAACAGCAGTCAATAGCTTGTATACTGTGAGCAAAACAGAGATCCTGGGAGGGTGAGTACCGCTCCATTCGCACAGTCTCTTGGTGCGCACAGAGACAGAGCCTGGGGACCTCACACGTGCTCCCTGGTCACGCTCTGCCAGCTAGAAGCGAAATGAGCAAACATTTTAAGAGATGTGAACCATTCTTGAAAATTGTCCCTGATGCCAGCCAGACAGGTTGATGTGATGACTAAACTCCGTATTTATTATCCACTTTACTTCCCATGTTGTAATGTCTGAAAGTAAGAAAAAGCCAATGTGAGTCACCAGGAGGTTAAGAAGCTGTCCAAAGCCTTGGCTTAAACCCCAGGAGACAAAACAGAAATGAGTCAGGGCTGTGTCTTTCTTGTGGCGTGTTAAATCTTTGTATCATTGTTCCTGGTTTCCCACTTGTACTGTTACTATAGAAATTACTATGATCTGTTTAGTTGATGGATTTCCTCACTGAAGAACTTACTTGATGGTCATCTAAATGCGCACTTCTCTTCCCAAAGGAAGAGGATTTGAGCTTGTCAAGGAAACACATCCATACGATACTGGGGGACAGTCTTTCCTCTTCAAAATCATTCATGGTCCCTCTGTGGTGTCGTGTGACTCAAAGCCTGGTTTACTGCTATCAGCATGTCTGTGTAAATTGGGAATGGGGAAGTAGAGAGTTTACACACACATCTACAAATTTTACTCACTAACACATGGAAAATATGCACAATGATGACAGCACAAGTTTCCAAGATTGGTCTGTTGGGTGTAGTTCATCCATTTTTATAAAATCCCTTCTTCCTCTCCTGGCCCATCTTTCTTCGGTCTGTCACATGCACCACCTGAGTTTTTTCCTCCTCAGCTGGCTGGTGGCAGAGGATGCCCCCTGGGACTGTGGGAATGGGCTGGGGGGAGCTGTGAATTCAAAACATGAACTGGTGCCACGGAAGTCTGAAGTCTTTGGGTCTTCAGGGACTTCAGTGGCAAGCCAGCAGCTATTTCTCTGAAGGAGAATAGTTATTTGCAGTAGAAAGCTTGCAATAATTCCCAGGGTTTGTGCTGTTTGTTTGGCCATGGTTTGTCAATGGCTCCTTTAAACTTCCCTGATACATCTTTGGGGACCGCAGGTTCTGCTCAGTGGCACTGGAAAGTGGCCAGGGGGCGGTCACGTCTTGCTCTGAGCTCCACTCAGCTCTGGCAGCCTTAATGGGCTCAGCAGTGGGTTAGAAGAGCTGCTCTGAATGTGTGTGGTTGCCGTCAGGCTGTGAAGGGATCGAGTACTGTGCCTTCTCCTACTTGATAGGGAACTCAAGGCAGCAGCTTCAATTTTACTTTAGGAAGAGACACCGCAAGATGCCAAGGCCTATTGGATTCTCATAAGTTTCCTGGGTTCATCTCCCACCTTGTAGACTGTAGCTTTTGTAAACCTGCTATAGTTTGGATTTACAGCGTCTCCCAAAGTATCATGTTAAAGCTTGGTCTTCAGCCCTGTGGTGCTGTGGGAGGTAGTGGAACCTTTCAGTGGTGGTGCCTCATAGGAGGAAGTGAGGTCACTGGGGGGGGGGTGTGCTTGGAGGAAGTGAGGTCACTGGGGTGTGTGACCTTGGAGGAAGTGAGTTCACTGGGGCATGTCCTTAAAGGGATGATTGAAACTTTTGCCCCTTGTGTCCTTCTCTTTGCTTCCTGGTACCCTGAGGTGAGAAGCTTCTTTGCCATGCGCCATGATGTTCTGCCTCATTTCAAACCCAAAACACTGGGTGACCATGAACTGAAATCTCGAAAATCGTGAGCCAAAATAAGCCTTTTATCCTTAAAATTGTCTATCTTAGGTGTCTCATTATAGCAATACAAATCTGACTGTCACAATTCCTGATCAACGTGTCCACTGAGCATGAGGTTACCAGTCTGGTGGCCAAGTATGAATCCTATGAGATGACTTCAACATCCAAGGTCTTTGCAGAATAAATCACATGAGAAATCCTGATAAGTGGAGATAGCCACAGAATCCAGCTGTGCTGGGCTGGACAGTTCTGAGGCCAATGCTCATGATGAGAAAAAGTACTTTCTTAATTAATGGCCACACAGGAGGTACCTTGGGCCACGTTCGTGTTCTGCCACAGAGATTCCATTTGGAATTGTGGTTGGAATTGAAGCTACCACTTGACTGTGTCTCCAGTAATCCAACATCCTTTCCAAGTGTCTCCTGCTTCTGAGATTGGTGGGTAGCTGCAGGGGAATGTAGTGGCCACCACTGTACCATATCTGTCCAGTGTTGCTGTTACCCCACAACTGTCAGAAGTGCCCCTTTTTACATTCATTATGCAGCCTGGGGGAACTCTCCTTTCACTTCTTACTGTGACAGCCATGATGGCACAGAACAAGGATGTATGTTCTATCTTACTTTATTAACTAAGGAATAAGAGCAAACAAATCAGATTTAACAATTATTCATGAGTGTGCATTTCTGAATGTGATTACATAGGAAGGAAACCGTCTGAGTCCATTTCTGTTAGTGTAATGAACTGCCTTCGGCTGGCTGCTTAATGAAGGGAAGGGGTTTATTTAGATCACGGTTCTGGAGATTCAGGATCATGGCACCAGCACTGGCTCAGCTCTGATGAGGAGTCTCCTGGCTTCATTGCATCATGGTAAACAGCATCATGGTGGGAAGAAGTGTGACAGGCAGGGGTCATAAGGCGAGACAGGCAGCCAGGGAGCAATGTGGAAGAGTCAGAATTGCTCTTCTACAATGGTCCTCTTGTGAGAACTAACCAGGATCCTACAAGAGCAATATCAACTGCTTCCCAGGACAGCGCCCCTAATCACCTAATTACTTCCTAGTAGGTCCCACAAACTACAGTTTTCCCCCTTCCCCTACTCTGCTACCCTGAACACCACACTCCTAACATAAATCTTTGGGGAACTTACAAGCCATATTCATAACAGAAGCCGTCTTTCAGAACACGTACAGGTTGATTTAGCCAAGCTGAACTATGAAAAACGTCATCAGCAACTATCTAATATGTACATCAATTATATGTATCTATGTGCAATATTCTTATTGCCTTTTTATTTATATGCAGTTTCAAAAGTGATTTTTTATTTTTATTTTTTTGATACTGGGGATCAAACTCATGACCTTGCAGTTACCAGGTAGGCACCTGGTGCTACTGAGCTAATCCCCAGCCCCTTGAAAAAGATTTTGACATATCTGACCTATAGGCTGTATTATTTATTTGCTTTCAAAGCTCAGTCTTTTGCATTCAGATATATTCTGATAGATTCTGTGTTATCTGTGATAGTGGTTCTTAAATTTCAGTATTCAAATGACTTGCCCAAGGATAGGGCTGAAAATGCAGATTCCAGGCTTTACCCTGGACTCCTGCCTCTATAGGTCTGAGCCAGAGACCTGCATTCTTAACCCTCTCCCCTTCCCCAGAACTTCTGGTACAGGTGATACACAGGACACACCTTGCCCAGTGCTGTCATAAGAGTTTTCTAGATATCACAGATGTGCCCGGAGGTCACCCATTCAAATTCACAAAGAGAAACATGGGGCGGGGTGGTGGTGGCGGTGACTGCCCACTGTCCACCAGGTAGGGACTGCCCCTGGGTCCCTCTTGACAACGGTACATCATGTTGTGCTCTTCTTTGGCAGAGGGCGTTTTGGGCAGGTTCACAAGTGTGAGGAGAAGGCAACAGGCCTGAAGCTGGCTGCCAAAATCATCAAGACCAGAGGCGCGAAGGACAAGGTGAAGGTTCAGGGGGTTCCTGGGTCTCCCCCTGTGTCCAGTTTCCCCCATCACACTAACACACTTTGTCCTTCTCAGGAGGAGGTGAAGAACGAGATCAATGTCATGAACCAGCTGGACCACGTGAACCTCATTCAGCTCTATGATGCCTTCGAGTCCAAGAACGACATCATCCTGGTCATGGAGTAGTACGTGTCCCCTCTGTGTCCAGCAGAACCATGCACGCTGCCCCTCTGGTTCTGATGTGTGTGAATCACATGAAAGCTTCTGTTCATGAAGAAAATGGCTTCTCAGTGTGCATCTCCTGATGGGATTCGCCGTTGAGATGTGACAGGGTGGAATATCTTAGGGTGGCTTTGAATCTAGGCTGTGTTGCTAAGATCTGAGCTTACATTTCATCCTGGGGCACAGAGAGTAAAGTGGTTTTTGAGCTATCTCTCATTTTCAGCACAAGGATGTCCTTTATCCTTAGGGAATAGGTACCAAGACCCCCCCTCCCCCGATGCCCAGGGATAGTACCAATCCCCGTTTATATACTGAGCTTTTTTCTATATATCTATGGTAAGGCTTCACTTATTACTTAGTCACTAATAACAAAATAAAACAATCATCACAGTATGCTATAATGAAATTATGTGACTCTCCCCCCAAGTTATTGTACTAGACTGACACAGTCGCCTGTGGATAACTAAAACCTTGGAGAGAAAACTGTGCGTGGGGCAGGGGTGGCTGCCATCACTAATACAAAACTCACATCACACCCTTGGTGACTGAGGCTAACAGGCTTCGGTTTGAATTGCCTTTGTAAAAACCTAACGACTGGTTAGAGCATGTCTAGTTCTGGGCTGAGCATGTAACTTGCTAGCAGAGTGTTTTCCTAGCAACGTGTGAGGTCCTAAGTTTGATCACAAGAAAAAAAACTAGGATCTCTGATTAGCACAGAATTGGTTGGAATTCAGCTCACTCATTCCTATGTCGGTTTTGCTTATCGTGCCGTAAAGCATGTTGCCTAATAAAGCATCCATGGGTCACAGGAAGCACTAGCACTTTGTCTCTCCAGTTAGTCCAAAGTATTAAGGGTTGAAACCCTGCTGCTGGGGTTTACCGAACCCCTCTTCATGTCTTTGGAACCCCCTTGCCTTTGACATGTGTTAGGGAGCGGTACACATGTAGACTCACCCCAGAGCTGCAGCGGCTGAGATTTTGCCTCTGTGAAACCAAGGTGTGTGTGTGGCACCCCAGGGAGTCAAGAGGGCGCAGAAAGCACCTCACCTGCATCTTTTGGAAGAGTCAGAGAAATGCACGCATCAGCTGGCTACAGGAAAGCCTGCACTGGCCTGGGAGTAGGGCCTGAGTGCGTCCCTCTTCCCTCTGTAGTGTGGAAGGCGGGGAGCTGTTCGACCGCATCATTGATGAGAACTGCAGCTTGACGGAGCTCGACACCATCCTGTTCATCAAGCAGATCTGCGAGGGCATAAAACACATGCACCAGATGTACATCCTCCACTTGGACCTCAAGGTAGCGCATGTTTTCCCCCGCCCTTCCCATGTTGGTCAGTGGATGACAGATGTCAGCAGAGGCATTGTGCACTGTCACTGTTGTGTCTAGGGATTAACAAAAATCTGGATATTTTCCAAAATGGGGTATGTGTTGCTATGTTGCCCTGACTGACCCTGAATTCCTAGGTTCACATGAGGCTCTTGCCTCTGCCTACCAAGTATCTGGGAGTTCAGGCACATTCCCCCATGTCTGTGAAATCTGTGTTTTTATTTCATTTTATTCTCCTTAGTTTGTTGTGAGACAGGGCCTCCCTATGTAGTTCAGGCTGGCCTTGAATTTGCTGTGTAGCCCAGGCTGGGCTCTAACGTATGACAATCTTTCTGCCTCAGCTGGGATCACAGGCATGTGCCATCACACCTGTCTCAAAATCTGAATTTGTATCTCATTCTCAACTTTTGCTACCATTTTTAGAGGCTGTGTTTTGCACATCCATCTTCAGAGGCTATTGTTCAGATTCTTGTAACTTGACCATGTTGAAGGAACTGACACAGGAAGTGGTTTCCCTAAAAGTTTAGAACTAAAACCACCATCACCACCACAATATCCTTGTCCCAGCCTTCTCATCAGAGTGTATCGGGTGGAGGATTTTAGCTAACTCAGAATTCCCTAGTGGTAGTCAAGTTTTCTAGAACTCCAAGAATGCCCAGCACTCTTCTGAAGTGTTTTCTGGAAGACTTGAACTTTGGAATCTGCTTTTTTTAATGGGCTTGGCTGAACCACAGAGGACAAACTATAGAGAACAGAATGCAGGACAGGCAGAGGGTGTGGCTCAGATGCCACCCAGCAGGGAGGATGGAGTGGGTACCATGTTAGAGATGGTGGAAAAGCACAGGAGTGAAGCCAATCCCCCACCCCGCCCCTGTGCTGGAAGTCCCTAGAACAATTGGACTGCAAGTTCTAGTTCTAACTAATGAAAGACTGAGTCCACATAACCCTGACCAAATCTAACACTGGAGCTGAGCATCGTGAAGTGCATCTTCTTGTGTGGTTTGATCATTTTCTCATTTCCCCATTTGCACAGCATGATGGTGAGATAAAGCATATATTCTGTGTAACATACCATCTATCTCGAGTCACCAGGGATTGTGCAGCTGAATAAATTAGCCTCCTTAAATAGGTTTCCATGGGCCTCTCTTCCTACGACTTGGCTTCCCTCACTGTCTTGATTTATGTGCATTGCCTTTCCCATTTGCTGTTTTGCAGGAGGAGGGGAGCGGGAAGTGGTATATAAAATGACAGAGTCAGAGGTTGAAAGTCATTAGCAAAGCCCTTGGCCATGAACCGAGTATGACTGTGCCTGTTTTCCTGGACTGGAATATTCCAAAGGGGTTTGATTGGCAGCTGGAGCCAGGAGCTCCTATCATGAGCCCTGTTACTCTATCTGTGGCTCCCTAACATTGATGGGGATTGCTATGGGCTGTTTTATTTATGGCTTGTATGGAAAGATAGTCAGAAAGATGACAGCTGGATTGGTCATTAAGGACCAGCTTTTTAGGAAGCTCCTTGGAAGAAAAAGGGCTAAACACACTGAGTGCCTCGTCTTTAAGTAGGAATGACTTAAATCTTTTTTTTTTTTTTGGTACCAGGAATCGAACTCATGACCCAACACTTGCCAGGCAGGTGCTTAAAGCCCAGCCCTTACATTTTTTTATGTTCTACAAATCTCCTTCAGTGAAAATCCTTTGATTTCCTGATCATAACATTAACTTTTGGAAGTGCCCTCAGAGCTATTTCTTTACGTTCTGCAAAACAATTTTTGGATGCACTGGTATGCCCTGAAAACTAGACAGCTTTATACATGATCAATTAGTTATTTAAGTATGAAACCACTGCCTTACACAGCACCTACTTATGTATAAAATGGCTTTCACTCATAGACATCTGTTTTAGATATATTTAGGAAAGGATTGATTTCCAAAGATATTGCATCTCATCTAGTGAAATGGACTACTGGATACCAACAGAGAGACGCTACATTCTTTTACAAATATCCCTTGAGTTTCTAATCTTATTTGACCCTCTTTCCCACTCAGATAGGAGACGGGGGAGTTGTGCTCCCAGCTAAAAGATGGGGAAATGGAATCCTAGGTTTTCAGCAGCTTTGCTCAGGCCTCCGACTCTGAGGGAGGAGCTGGAACTACAGTTTGAGAGCTCTGTCTCTTCATTGAAAACTTCCTCTTTTATGGGTGACTCTGATTTTAAATCAAGCCCTTTATTTTTCTAAGATCTCAATACTTCTCTTCCCCCCAAAAGTCGGTATACTGGGGAGACATTCTTGGGACACTGAATTTGGTGCTACCATTTCACCCCGTGGTTGTCAGATTAGCAAGGAAAGGTCTTAGCAGAGTCTAATTGCAAGAGAACACTGCAGCAAGGGCTGGAGGCATTGAGACCAACTCAGCAAAGCCTTAGAGTTTCTGAAGGTGAGGCGTGAATAAGCGAGAGAAGCCTGCTTTTACCATGTGACTTTCCCGTAAACCTAGCACAGAGGGAAAATCTAGAGGTCGGGAATGTTTATGCTATATTGCACATTCAGTGTGGTTGCTTAAGTGAATCAGGCCATTTCTCTTGGAACTCATAAATCTTTGGCAAAAACATTCCTCCAAGACAGGGGAATTCATACTTAATTTTAGGGGGGACAATGTCAAGTCTGAGCTGGCCTTTACCATTGAATGAAGTCCTGAAACAGCCTCGTGCTCCTCAAGGAGGCCTCTGCCTGAACTCATGCATTATGGTCGGCTGCAAAACCATGGTGAGGGACAGGCCGGGTAATGCAAGGTTGGCAGGGTACTCGCAACCTCATCTACCACATAATTAGAGGAGAAAATGCCCACACAGAAAAGCCAGCCCCTGGTGAAAGGCCCGATGTGTTTTTCCTGAGCATTGTTGTATTTTTAGTTGTGGTTCAAGAACAATTTGAGTGAAGCAGAGTTGTTTTCATTGCTAATGTGTCTCTTTCTCCTGGCAGCCTGAGAATATCCTGTGTGTGAATCGGGATGCTAAACAAATAAAAATTATTGATTTTGGATTGGCCAGAAGGTACGTGTGTTTGGATATAGGTGTAGGAACAAAGTTGGGGACATGACTGGTGCTCATTCTTTGCAAAGATTAACTTAACTATCCTTTGTTTCCGTGCCCTCATTTGGAATTAATTTAACAAAAATCATGTTCCATCTTAGCTTGCTGAACTGGAGATTTTAGCATTTAGAAGCGTCCACATGCGTGTAATAAAAATGTGAGAAATCACAAACCTAATGTGGGAGACTTATTAAGTCAGAAGCCATTGATTTAGCATTTGAAGATTTTGTCTTAGTTTTCTATGTTTGTTCCATTGTGAAGGAGAAGGGCTATTGTGAGACTGCAGGGTTCTAGAAGCTTCCCAAGGGTTGCAAGAGTTTCCATGAACACATTCACAGTTTGGTGTGGTTGTCTGCCTCAAAGAGGGGTTAAAAATCATCACAGCATTCTGTTTACTCAGTAGCACAGTGTGCAAGTCATCTACAGATAGCCAGGGGCTACCTGGCTTTCTTTTTGTCATATGCTATCATTGAGATGCTCTGATTATTCAAAGTTGGTTTCTCTATAACTGTTCCAGGTTGTCAAGGATTTATAAATTTTAACTCTTGACACCTATGGGACTTCTCTGCAGGTTCCCAACATTGGCACAAATATGTGAGCTCCTTGAAAATCTGTTTAGCTGAAAATCACAGGGTAGCTGAAGCTGTCTTGTCTCATAGGCCTTGTCTTTGCAGCATTTGTGAATTTCGATTTTTGATTGACATTTTCTTTCCTTCTTCTTGGTCTCCTCAATTCCAGATACAAACCCAGGGAGAAACTGAAAGTGAACTTTGGAACCCCTGAATTTCTTGCCCCAGAAGTTGTGAACTATGATTTCGTCTCCTTCCCTACAGACATGTGGAGCGTGGGGGTCATTGCGTACATGCTGTGAGCAGCTTTAATTTCTCTCACTCATGTGTCTTCCGTCTGTGCCCATTCTTTGAGGTTTGGCTATTTTGAACAAAAGCCCTAATTTAGGTCTTTAAAAAAAATACTATACCATACTTGGTTGCTGGGACCATACCATACTTCATTGCTTTCTAGGTTCTGCTGGATCATCTTAAAAAGTGAATGTATGTCCTCTTCACGGGTCACTTTGATTCCTAGGACATCACCTAAAGCCCTAAAAGTAACTGAGAAAAGAAAACCCAGCCCTGTACTGATCTTCTAAATGACTCACGCTAGCCTTGCTCCTCAGAGGTGACATTCCTGGCATTTGTCTTCTGAGTACGTGACAACATCTTGCCAGCTGCAAAGCACTTGAGCAAGGAATGTGTACTATTTTTTGAGATTCGTATCCCAGTGTAGCTGCAGCCTTTGCTGCCACAGTTGTTTAATTAGGACTCGGGATGGGGGAGGAAAGCATTTTCCTGGTTGCAATAGTAGGTTATAAAATTACGCTTCTTTGTTAGGTTATTTCCTCCTCTCCTTTTAAATGACAGAACTGGAAAGCAACCTGCCTGTAAAGCATTGAAGACTGATTTTAAAAATACTCACTCTGGATCCTGTGTCTTGTAGACTTAGTGGTTTGTCCCCTTTCCTGGGTGATAATGACGCAGAGACGCTGAACAACATCCTGGCGTGCAGGTGGGACTTAGAGGATGAAGAATTTCAGGACATCTCAGACGAGGCCAGGGAGTTCATCTCCAAGCTCCTGATAAAAGAGAAAAGGTAACTCAGGTTCACCCAGTGCTGTGGCAGCAGCATAAGAACCACCAGGGCCATTAGAATCCATCCTCGTCAGGTCATCTAAGATGCCTGTGCAAGTCGGAAACACGACTGAGGCTTGGTTTGTCTCCACTCCACCCAGCTCTAGTGCCATATATATTATACGAGCTTTTGTGTGTTATTTCACTTCTGCATAAATCTGTAGTATGTGGAAAAAATAACCCCGACTTCACTGATATGCAGCTGAGTCTGAGAGCCATGATAGCACATGGCTGGACCCTGCCCACTCCTACAATGATATCTAAGGAGCAACACTGGGCACCTGGCTTAGTCTGCAGTATTTGCATGAAGCTAAGGCAAAGCCAAATATCACTAGCATAGAATAAATTTCAAGAGTACAAAAAAACCCCACCCTAAACGTTATTCAGAGTCTAACAATGAGTGCAGCACACTTACCCTTGCTGTGGCTGGACTTTAAAACCTTGACTCTAGAGTAGTAACAGACATATTTTTGGCACGGTCAGCTAGTGGAATGCTCTGGGAATCCAGTCCTGGAGATTCATGTTACTAATCAGGGTTGTATTTCCATCTGAGGTTGGTGGAATGTTTGTTTGTTTGTTTTTAGTAACTGCTGCCTGTTTAGAGCCCTGTAATGGTGATCATCATATCAACACAGACCCTGAAAGTACAATGTCCCTCCTCTTTGAGTCTTAAATGTTTGATATCTAATGAAGCAATCATATTGAAGCAGTTTTACAAACTGAAGCTTCCTGGCTACTGAAAGTTACTTGTTTCTGTCCAGAAACAGATTTCAGATTGTTGCACTCAGTTTTTATTTTGACTGTTTATCAGAGTATGATAGATGTTAGCACAGCAAGTTTATAAGGCATAGAAGCAGAATATAATACAATCTTTAATTTCCTTCTCTATATAACCTTCTCAAATGTATAAACTATTCTTAGCTCCAAAAGAATGTGATGTCTTTACAAAGGAATTGAATGCATTCTCTCTTGATGACATTAACTCTGTCTCCCTACTGTAAACTCTTTGAAACTTTAGGGGCTGGGGATTTAGCTCAGCGGCATAAGCGCCTGCCTTGCAAGCAGGCAGTCGTGAGTTCAATCCCTGGTACCGATAAAAACAAAAAAAGACAAAAAAAAAAAGTTAGTAATACATATTCAAAAGATTTAATGCATAAATTGCTTTTGTAATCATCAAGAATCTGTTTGATGTAGCATTTTGTTCTTATGACAATAGGAATTTACTCTTGTACTGTCTGTTAGGAGTTCAATTCAGGAGCCTCAATTTTGTGTCATAAGAAAGGCTTCATATATAGTATTTGGAGTAGATGTTACATTATTAACAAGAATTTTGATCATTTGTTTTGCTTGTCTCATGGATGTTGTTATCTTGATTGGATCTGTTGATAACCTATACTGTCATCCATAACACACAACTCTGGGAAAGGCAGAGTTTACTAAGGATTAGGCATTTGGCCATCTGGTCTACCAGAGGTGCAGGCTAGACCAAAGATGAGTTGTAGCTTCAGGCTTCACTGGGTGTGTTCCTACTAATAAACCTCTGAATTTCCCTTTAGTTGGAGAATAAGTGCCAGTGAAGCTCTCAAGCACCCCTGGTTGTCAGACCACAAGCTCCACGCCAGACTCAGTGCACAGGTGAGCAAAGCTTCTCTGTTTTTCTTTCTCTTCTTCTGTCTGCCTGTCTTTTGAAGATCAGAAGTCACATTCACCCTAACCTTCCATGAGGTGCCTTCTGATCCTTTTCCTTACAGCCTGAAGTCTTGTGCTAATGTTATTGCTAAAATATTTTACTGAGCAGTTTGTGCTTAAAACACAATACTGATTACATTGTTTACATATGTTTGGTAGAATGTTATTTTTAGCACAAGTACCTATTAAATCTTTGTACCCATTACTACATCATAATACTGGGCACATTACACACCCATCCCCACACACAGGCTGCTATGTGTATACAAAAATACAGTGTGAGCAAGACGTTGATGAGAAATGTTTCATAAAGCAGAATGCAGAATCCTAAATTCCCTGCTTACCTGAGTTAGTCTGTTCTGGCACCAAATCTTTTTTGTGTGTGTGCCTGGAATTGAATTTAGGGGCCATGCTTGCTTGGCAAGAGCTCTGCCACTGAACTGCATCCTGAGCCCTTGTTAAAAATTTTTCTTTCGAGGCAAGGTCTTGCTAAGCTGCTCGAGTTGGCCTTGAACTGGTGATTCTCTCGTTTCTGCTTCCCAGTCAGCTGGAATCACAGACACACACCGCCAATCTTTAGTGCTCAATTTGGTCCATAGAAGCGCATGTGAAGGAGACCTAGCAGCTGGAAGACTGAAATATTTGTTGAGAACAATGGCGCCACATCTGTGCTTACCTCTAACAGTGACATCTCCTTCTACTCCAATAGCAAACATGTTTATTTCACAATTCCCTCAGGAGCCTCTCTGGTGCAGAATGTTTTTCTGAGTTACGTGCTCATACTTGTGCACTCTGTGTTTCCTCTTAAGTCTTCTCAGCCCTAACCCAAACCCACGTCCTACCTCCTCCTTTACTGTTCTCTTGGTGGAAGATGCCACTCAGTGGCATCGATACACCTTTTATTTCTGCCTTCTCCCTCTTTCCCTCATCCTGTATTTAATTTATGCCCTGTCCTATGCATCAGTACCTCCGGAATTTGCTCAGTTCTCTCCATAGCCACGGTTGTCTTGACCTGGGATGTCTGTCCCCTGAATTGTCACAGGAACTTCCTAACTGACTTCTCTGTCTCTCTTAGGTTGTTTTCATCCAAATAATTGTGGATTCTAGAAATAACACAGATACAGATACAGATACAGATACAGATACAGATACAGATACAGATACAGATGATACAGATACAGATGATACAGATTCATGACATTTAAGTAACTGTTGTCAACATTTAGGATGGTTAGCAGGGCAGGATGCACAGAAACGCAGTGAGACATCCGTGCCTTCGGACTCACAGGGCTGCAGTCACTGCAGCCTCACATGTGTGTGCTCAACACAGTTTGATTTCTTCTACTTTTTCTCCTCATCTCCCTGCTCCCTGGGGTTTGGAATGGAACTTTCCCCCTGACCAACAAGCCTTGGAATGGCTGTGCTTCAGGTACTCAGTTTTTCCACATCCAGTTTTTATTGAAATTAACTCTAAATTCAGCATCAGGACCGAGTTTTATTTGTGTCTGAATATACCTTTCCTTGATAATTGGCATGGATGCCAAGTAAAAATAGACATATTACCTAGCCAGTTCCTCATTCAGCCTGCATAAACTGCTTATTAGGGTAACCGACTTATTTTGAGCCCATTTTCCACCAACATATTTTTATCCAAGCTTATTGGTGTCCAGATACATTTTGACGTGGCAGGACAATATAGAAACCACAGCAGAAAATTAATGACATTGCACAGCCTAAAGAGAGCTTAAAATACTTTTTAAACATGTAACAACAAAAATCACCTTTTGGTTACTCCACCCAAATGCTGGTACCTGAGATGAATAAATATTTCAATAATGCTGGCAATTAAAAAAAACAAATTCTCTTCTATAAGTTTAGTTATTGAAGTCATCATCATGTGACATTATGACAATCACTGCCCAAACTGCTTTATAAAAATTAACGCCTATAATGCAGGCATGATTAGTGTGCCCATTAGGTAGATGAGAAGATGGAGGAGGGGGTAAATTCTGGAGTTTGGGGCAGACTGTTGCCACCCAATTATTTTAGTGTGTGAAAGGAGCCTGAATCATCTTTCTAGAAATTTCTTGTGTTGTATATATTTGGCACTACTGAAAACCAGTATTCCAAAAATGTATTTTATTTTTCATTGAAAAATTGGTTGACTATCCCCTATCCAAAATGTGTGGGGCCAGAAGTGTTTCAGATTGTGAGGGTTTTTTTCTGATTCTGAAACATTTGCCATTCTACAATGAGACACCTGCAGGGTAGAATGCACATCTCAGGATGAAGTCTATGTATATTTTACATCCACCTAATACACATGACCTGAAGGTAATTTTAAGCAATATTTTTTGTAAATATACTTTTAGACTATCACTTGTCACATGACATCAGGCACGGAGCTTTCTCCACTTCTGGGGTCATGTTGCCTCTCCAAAAGTCTCCGATTTGGGAGTATTTCAAATTTTCAGAGTTTTGGATTAGGGATGCTCAGCCTACATGGAGACTAAGTTTTTCCAGAAGATTTCTTTTTGGAGTAATCTTTGTTCTTATATGTTATCCAAAATAAGAATTTACTTTTATGCTGAAAATTTCCATCTCATCCAGCAGGGTTACCATTTGATCTAAATTCTACTTTTAAAGTATTTGATACATTTTTATTCATGTATCTTCATTGGCTGGTGTGTTCTGAACCACGTGAGCATGGGCATTGTATTAAAGCACTTTCCCTGCCTCAGCACTGTGATCCTGAAGTGCCCTGTCTTCTCTCTGGGGCTCAGTGTGATAGGCCGTGGTCCCAGCCTTTTTATGTCCCCAACTACAGTCCACCTCCTGTCAGCAACAGCTCTTACCCAGATCCTGCTAGTCAAGGCCGGTGTTAAAGGCCGCCTCTCTTTCTCTCTCTCTCTGATGGCTTTTCTCAGCCCCTAACCCGAATATTTCTTGTCTTGTCTTTGCTTTTCTCTTGCTTTCCTTTCTTTTCTTCCCCTGGAGGCATTTACTTTGTCTACTACTGCATTTGAATGCTTTTGGAAGAAGTCACCCCTGGGTTTGATTCGTGTTTGCAGTCCCTGCAGCCCGACTGTCACGAATCTTGTGCTTGGATAAGACACACAACTAAAAATTAAAGTGTGACTGGGGCCCACGTGTGTTGGCCCTGGCACTAAAGGAGGAAGAGGGGAAGCGATGCTGGGGTGCTGGCGGGGTGGGGGGGATACGCTGCAGCTGAGCTGGGCGGGCGGAGGTGTGACTGCTGGCAGGTCAGCAGTTTAGGCTTCAAGACTCTCCCCGAGCATTTTTACTAAGAAGTAAATTACTGACTCTTGTGTTCTAAAGTCAACAACTGATGATAACAGTTCTGATCCTTCCCCAAATGTCTCCTGTCCTGCTAGAACTGCAGCTCCAATGCTCATACGCTAATGACCAAATAGTCCAAGGAAGAGGCCCTTTTGAAAGGTTAGTACCCAATCTTTTTCTTTTTTACTGAAAGGAAAGAAAGTTGGGTGGGGGGATAATTAGGATTATGATCTGGGAGGTCACAGATTCAAACCACCTTGAAAATGTGCTCCCAGTGGTGGGTGGTTTCCTGAAGAGAAGTGAGAGCCACTGTCCAGCAAGAGAAATGAGAAGGACTTTGAGTGGTCTCTGCAGGGATGTGAGGTAAGCAGGGCATGTGGGATCCCCAAATTCAGGTGGCAGTGTTTGCACAGTGGCTTTGCCAGGTCCTAGTGGAGGGAGCTTGGATCCCTCCCGTGTGGGATGGGGTGGTCTTACCGCCTGAGCTCCTTGCATGGTCCTAGAAAGATCATGGAAGCCAACTCAAGGCCAGGGCTTGGAAGGTGGAACATGGCCAGGGCCAGTTATACCGAATAATTAGCACCAGAAGCTCCAGTTTCTGACAGAAACTGTCTCCAAAGTCCTTGTATATAGATAGATGAGGAAACCAAGTCTCAGGACTCAGACCCTAAATATCTCACCGAAAGCCATTCAGCCAGGAAATGGTAGAGCATGCATCTCTCTGTTGCCTTGGAAGCTAAAGCCAGATTTTGTTTTTCCCCTTTAAGCTGCCTCTGACCTTAGCCCAGCTTTCTGACTCCCAGGAAAATCACTGCATACAAATTTAGATGGTATGTTCCATGCCTGTCTTGGGGTTTTGTTGGAATTACTAAAGGATAGTTTTACATGTGAATACTTTCTCTTTCATGTCAACAATATAGCTTAAACTACACCCTAACGGTTAAGATTATAGAATTAGCAGTACACAAATGAAGAAGGACTTAGAAACCCAATGTTTATGTCCTCATAAGGGAGCCATCAACCCTCCAGCTCCCTGTCTTGGGCAGTAAGTTGGTAGCCATTTTTGCAGCTGAATTTTAATAGTTGCATAGGGTTTATGATGCACAAATCTGTATTCTTGCTCCCCACTGGCCTTAATTCCCCACCTGCCCCACCTTTTGCAGTTCTGGGGATTGAACCTAGAACATTTTGTATGCACTATGCAAGTGCTCTATGGCTGAGCTACCCTTGTCTGCCACTGGACTGAATCCTGTATTCTTATCTCCATGTTTCTGGGCTGGAGGGAGGTCTTCATCTGTTTGGCTGTGTGCATTCTTGTGAGAACAGTCAATGGGAAGCTGGTGATTTGTATTTATAAGGACCATTCTTGCACATTAGCAGTAACAAAGGTGACACAGTTCTGGGAAGCAGAGGAGGTCATCCCGTACCAAGGACCCTGGTGCCCTCGGTGTGGGTTACGGCAATCAAGGATTCCTTCATGGAATCACGAGTGCCCATGGCCCAGTGTGACCGGGACCCTGTCTGCTCTCATTCTCTCCCTTCCCTCACGCTCTCCCCCAGAAGCAGTTTTGTCCCCAGCCACCACAAACCCCGATGGTTTGCCACAAACCACCTTCCCACCAGAAATGCTGGAGTCGCTTCTGAGGCCTGGTGGGAATGCATTCGCCGGGTGACAGGGGTTACATTCCAAGGTGGGCCTGTCGCCAGGCCCTGGCAGGGAGAGCATGGGGAGGAAATGGTGGTTGGAGGAGGTAGAGTCCGTCTACACCAACCCCGACACTCTGGACTCAGCACAGTGGGAGAGAAGCAGTCCAAGTCCTGACTGTTTCGCAGAGTGCAAGACTGAAGTGTTGGCATGGGTGTCCTGGTGCCGCCAGATGAGACCCTTTTGGGAATCGCAGGGTGGGACCCCTCTGCACTCAGGTTTGCCCCTTAGTGTCACACTGGCCACTTGCCTTGCTCTTCCAGGTTCTCCTGTGGTGGGGTCACAGAAATTCCCCTGAGTCTGTATGCCAGCCAAGGAGGAATCCTCACGGACCCAGATGCCCCATAGTTTACAATCTTTCTCTTTAATTCTTTTTGAGGTGCTGGGGATGGAACTCCATACACACATACACATGCATGCTGGGCTGCCCCTGAGCTACACCCCCAAATCTCTATTGTTTAATTTTTAATTAAAATTTAAACTTAAAATATTGCTGCTTGGAGCAAATTTATTTGAGAAGTTAAAAAAAAAAAAACCCAACATTATTCCTCACAGTAGTATCCTTGCCAGGGTGAGATGAGGTTTTTTGGGCAAGATCTATTATGAGTGAAACCAAATTTGAGATAATATTGATTTTAAGAATCTGGTGGTTGAAGATTATTCCTGTGGAAAAAGACAGCTTTCCAGAGCCCAGGAACAAGGCATAATCTACAATGTAAATGAAGGCATATAAATCCCCTTCAATTTGTTAGTGGTTTCTTGATGCGTCAAGGGAACTCTACAAAAATCAACCTGGCGTTCATTTCTCCCTCCTGCGACTTTTGCCAGCCCCTGAGACCTGCCTTCAGGACACACCTTCATAGGAATGATTTAGGGTGGAAGCAGAGTGGCCCCGGTCACGGTGGTCACAAAGCAATGGAAATACAATCAGCCCTGTGTGCCCGCGGGTTCCTAGCTTCAGATCCAGCCAACTGCAGATTGGAAATATTTAGATAAAAAATTGCATCTGCGCTAAATCTGCGCAGACTTTTTTTCTTGTCATCATCCCCTAACTAAACAGAAGAATGACTGTGTGCATAGTGTCTATATTGTATCAGGTGTGGTAAGAACTCTAGGGATGGTTTAAAGTGTATGGGACGAGCGAGGTGGCGTCTTTGCAACACTGTGCCGTTTTATAGAAGGGATGCGAGCACCTGTGGATCCTGGCATCTGCGAGGGTCCCACCGCCAGCCCCCCGGGCCCTGAGAGAAGGCTAGATTCGCTGTGAGGCCCAAATTCTCACTTTGATGCTGGGATCCAGCTGACCATGAGCTGTGGTAACACTCAGAAGCCAAGCTTTAGATGAAACAAAGAGGCCTTGTCCCTCGCTATAGCAAGCAGTGCTAAAATATCTCCCATAAACTAAAAAGAAAAAGAAAATCCCAGTGATGATGGTTAGCAGTTGAATCTGTCAAGAACACCCCCCCACACACACTGCTCCGTACACACATACATTATGAAAAAATGTCATCTGTGGTTTTCCTAAAGGGCACAACCAACTAATTACAATTTTAAAAGTCCTGCTGAATTAACAAGATTCACATTTTGTTTGCTTTGCAGGAAAACTGCTGTGGTTGCTGCTGCTTTGAGAAGACTTTTGGAAAAATCAGCAGTTCGGATGACTTGACCCTCAGATGAGTGGCAGCTGGCCACAGCAGAGGAGCCCTTGAACTTGAACTGGGACACCGCTGCCTCCCTCAGCCAGGACACCTGTGCGGGTCCCCGGGGTGCAGGCAGACCCCATCCTACACACCGCACAGTGGGGAGATGTTTCCTGCCTCCTTGAGTTATTTTTATTTTATTATTTTTTTAAGTTTTGGATGTTAGTCACTGGGGCAGGGGTATGTTATGCCTGCTATTTCTCAGATTACCCGAGCAATCAGAGTTGAGATTTATTTGAGATTTAAGAACCTGGAGGCTTCATTTAGAGGCAGAAAGTGGCTTCCACTCATTAAATTGTGTCTCTCCAAGGGGTGATCGTATCTTTCGGAAAATTCTCTGTTTGGCACACCCTTGGACACTTCTTGGTTGGCCTGGAATCAGGTGAAGTCAGTGGGTAAATAATTTGCTTGCTGGACGCCTTCTTTGAATGCAGAAGCAAAAGGCCTGAGCCATTGTCTCTTTCATTTATTCTGGAATCTTCCCCCAAGCACATCAGTTTCTTCCGAGTAGCTGGTTCTGCTTTCAGATTAGTCCTGCTTTCGCATGACGTGCTTCCTGTTCCTGTCCCATGGGCCATTCGTAACCCATACGAAGACCAATCTTCATACCTATGCAGTCTCCTGTGCCTCCTCAGAGGTCTGCAAAGAAGAAACAGCAGCCAGACGCCAAAGGTGAAGGACCCTCTGCCTCTTGCGTGCTCTTTGAGCACGACAGTGATTCCCAGTTGGAAGCTTCTTATTCCTAAACTCTCCAGCCATTTCCTGACGGTCATTTATAAGGGTCGTGAGTGCTATTGCGGGTGGCATTTGGGGTACAGCGAGGAGCAGAGCTGAAAGATCAAACGTGTACAGTTTCCTTACGAAGAAGGAATGAGCCAGAGCTGCCCAGGCGTCGTCACACTCAGCACCACACTCGCCCCAAAGCCCTGGGACCTCCCTGCAGTCTCCAGTTCCATATCCTGCCTGGTAGCAGGATGTGGTGGCCAATGGCTGTGATCCCAGCAGTCTGGGAAGCTGAGACAAGACAGTCACATGCTTGGGCCCTGCCTGAGCCATTAGCAATTTAGCAAGACCCTGTCTTAAGATGAAAAAATTTTTAAAAAGAGCTGGAGATATAGCTCTGAGTAAAAACCAAACAGACCAAAGAACTAATGCTGTTGTGTTGAAATAGGCTGCACCAGCTCCCTACCGTGTAGCCCAGCGTGTTGTCCAGGCGAGGTTGTTGCGACAGCAGCGAAGGACATGTAGTGAGAGTTACTTGGTGGCTGTGTCAGGAAGGGAGAGGAACGCTCCTCCCTTCTCTCCCACCCGAGCTCGCCAGTCCTTAAGGTGCGCCCACAGACATAATTCCTCTCCTGAGCAAGGGGAAGCAGAGAGTGACAGGCGGATAATGTCATGAGGGCTGCAGGCTGACTTCACAGTCCTGCTGGGTCTACCTATCTACGACTCGCTTGTCTCCAGCCTCCGCTCTCATAGAACAATGCGTGACTGAAGAGTTCTATTACTGGTCTGGGTTTAGCTGATGCTGTTCGTTGAGTCAGGAAAAATCCAAGGCAGTGCATGTGTTGATGCTCCTGGACCACAGGGAGCTGATACTCAGTCCAGTGGATGCGGAGGTCTGGCTGGAGCTCCAGGTGCAAAGGCTCGGTCTGGCCCTGGCTCAGATTCTCTCCCGCATCCAGCAGGTCTTTTGCAGGATGGGTAGCCCGAGTGCAGCCTCATTCTAATTCCCAGAGGCAGAGAAATTGCCCTTATCCTGCCAAGCATGGAAGGGGCAGCTCGGGGAGCTATGATTTTTTTTGCCAAATGAATTTACTGATGCCCCCGTAGTTAGTGGATGTGACTTTCTTATGTCTTGGGATTCAGAAAAGAGACTGAATATTTGAAAAAGGAGAAGGGACTCCATTTTTAGCTAAAGTCCCACAGGTACGTGGGATGGTATTCCCGTGCCAGCAGGATGCTAGGTAATCAAAGCAGAGCATGGGCTCAGAGAAGTGAGTTTGGCTAGACTAAGCTATTGGGATCGATTTTTCCAAAAGGTCATCAGAATCTGAGGGCCCAGATTTCACCTCTACCCTCTTTTTTATTTTTTGTCTTTTTGAGACAGGATCTCACTATGCAGTTTAGATTGATCATGAGCTCACTTTGTAGCCCAGGCTGGTTTTGAGTTTGCAACAATTCTCCTGCCTCAACCTCCTGAGTGCTGGGATTACAGGCTTGTGCCAGCAGCCCAGCTCTTCTCCACCCTCTTAAGGGACAGTAGGGCTTCACTTACGCTCACTAGGAAGTTCCCATTTCCTTGCCAAATGGAGAAAATTAAGCTCTGATGTGGCACTTCCACTGTGGGGGAGAAGCAATCCTGCCCATCATTAAGAAAAATACCCACATTTATAGTTTGGGAGACACCAGTACTTACTAGTATCTGCTGATGTTAAAGATCACAGGGCAAAAGCTTATCTGTTACTTAAAAAACTAGGAAAGTGGTCATCATCTGATCTAACTTGGGACAAAGATTTCCAGGTTGGAAAGTGGGTACCACACATGTCCGGTGAGCTCCATGGCTTTGCTTTCTGTCCTCAGACATGTAAATCGGTGCGCTGCTGCGTGGAAAGCTGGAAAGCGCTGTGTGTGTTTGAAAGGTGCGTGGCTGCTTCCACTTTCATCTCATGAGAACCAGTGTAGCACTTTTTTTCTCATTGTAGAATCAAACTACAGATTTTAGAGTAGGAAATGAGAATCCTGCTCTGTGTTTCAGTACTTTTTTTCTTCTGTCCCCACGGCTGCCCCTGCCCCTGCCACTTGGCACGGCGTGGCAGCGCACGTATCTCTGCTTGTGTAGTTTGGGCTGTGCACCAGCTCTCTTGGAGAAGCCATGGTGGAAGTGTGAGGCCCAGGAAGAGCAGGCTCCTGGCAGGCTGCGGCTCTGTGCCCCCAGCCACTCCACCACCAGTGGAGGCTCCCGTCCCAGCATCTCCAAGGCTCCTGCATTTGCTCTTTAATTTTTTAAAAATTTTCTTACATGCAAATCAAATCCATCTTCCCCGTTGTGACAACTCTTCCCAGGCCTTCAGTTTATTTTTTGTTGAACCTCGAGTCTCACAATGCTAAATTACCACTAAACCACAGCCCATGCCTGCCCCCAAGGCTTTCCTTTCTCTCTGTCCCTCCTTCCCTAGGGCAAGCACTCAGCACAGAGCTGCATCCCATACATCCCCAGCCCTTTGTATTTTGAGGTAAGGTCTTGCTGAATTGTGTATGCTGGCCTCTACCATGCAGTCCTCCTGTCTCAGCCTCGAGAGCAGCTAGGATTACCTATTTGCCACCCATGCCCAGTTTACTGATGTCTTTTGAGATTGGAAATTTATGTGTGAAAGGCAAGTCACTTTGTATCCTAAAGGAAAACTGATGCTGAACGCATTCAGTGTTGGGCTCCTGCATCTAGATTGCTTCCTCGCATAGCCTGAAGTCTGCACTTCCTCGGAAGTGCCAGTGTGTGTCCTTGCTCTGCTTCAGTGGGGTGTGTTTCCAGCGTGTAGTCTTTATCTGGGCAGCTGCACCTTCCATGAAGGCTTATTTATAGCTCAGTCCCTCCTGCCCTTTCAGAACACTTCAGCCCTGTGAGTTCAGGAGCTGGATGTGGACGTGTAGGCAGCATCGCAGCTGGTCAGCAAGTCTTTCTGAAGAAGCCTATCCATGTAGATAAGAATTTAAAGTGGATTCATAAGTGGCGACTGCATATATCATGTATATTTTTATTTCTAAATGTGGGTATGTTCTGCTATATCTCTTGGCCTTCTAAAGGTGTACTTCGGGAGTCATATATATGTATTATATTAAACAAACATGGACCTTATCTATCCTTTGTTAATGAGTAAATTATTCAATAAAGTAGACTTGGAAATGCAACACAAACTCTCTCTTTTATGACAGATTCTCATGACATGCGACAATTCCCATGACATTAAGAGCCCAAGGTACCGTAAAAAGGGGCCTCACATGACAGGGGCTCCAGTGCTAACCCGGGAACAGCAGGAGAAGACCAGCTGCCCCTGCCCCGCTTGCAGGTGATTACAATGAACCAGCTCGGGATTCAGGGCTTCTCCATCAATACAGAACTATACAGACTGAAGTAAAGGTAAAATGCCTGTGCCTGTGGGGCCTAGTACATTATGAGGGCAGCAGCAGCAATCCGATCCCTTTAGTGGAACTTAGTGACATCCCTCAGGCCATCCCTCAGGAAGGCACAGTGACGTCTTTCCTGGAGATCCTGTCACAAGAGTGTGACCTGCACTGTCATACAGAAGAATGGGGGATAGTCCCCACCCAGTGTCAGCCTCACTCCTTGTCCTCAGACAAACTGGGTGGGGTCATCACCGTGGAGATCTGGGAGCTAGTCAAGCTTCCACCAGTGAGGGACAAAGACACAGTCTCCCAGCCCTGGAGCCTGCCTGCCAGGTGGCATTCAGACAGTGAAAGCCAGATGCAGGCTGCCTCTGTGCAGATGGTGAGCAGCAGGTATGATCAGATGGACAGCTCGATGCTCACCTGGTGACACCTGTCTCCCTGGCCTTCTTGGCTCTCTGAAAGTGCTCTGGATGAAAGGGTCACTCAAGTCTAATGCAACAGGGTCCATTTGCAGCAAACCATTAGGTTCTGACTACGAGATCCAGCTAACTGTCTAGCTAGACCAGGCGAGAGCACTCTGCACATGGCTGAACGCAGGGTCAATGGAATTCTAAGGATCAGAGCCACTCCCAAGACTACAGACTCATGCACTGACTATGTAAAAACTATATTATTATGCAAGTCTTTTGTGGTGGTACAACTTGTACTACCAGCTATTTAGGAGACTGAGGCAGGAGGATTGCTTGAACCAAGGAGTTTGGAGCCAGCTGGGTAATATAATGAATCATAACTCTTCCAAAGGAAATATATTCTTATTTTTATACTCATATTCTTTATCTAAAGATGCAAGTATCTGTACATTTCTGGGTAATCTTGACACATTAAACACTTCTTATTTCACTTTTATTTTATTTTTTAGGGGTGGTCCTGGGCACTGGAGCCTGGACTTTCATACCCAGCTACATTCCCTATCCTTTTTAAAATTTAAAAAGATTTGAGCAGAGTCTTGCTAAGTTACTGAGTTGCCCAGGCTGTGCAACTTAAAATAATCACTTGTTATATCCACCATATGATTAAAAACACCGCAGGTGTTGCACAGACTTAGGAAAAGAAACAAAGGTTGTGAGATCCAACCTCCTGTGTGCTTTGGAATGATACCTCCCAGTCCCGGAAGTACATCCTTGATTAGGTCAGCACTCTTCAAATGCTAACTGACTTTGGGGCCAGAGTGTTCTACGTGAAGTCACAGAAGAATACTATCCTGCTTGGCTATGGCATCACACCCAGTTCTTCCTGGACAATAAGAATGAAACCTACCTGAACTTCTCCATTTGGCCCCTCATTGAGCTGTCTGAGGAACACATAAGACCCCAGGAAAAAACCACAGACATCCAGCTGGCTTCCCCCGGAAGGCAGTCCAGCTCCCAAACGCGTATCGCCCACGGCCTCATGCTGTCCACACCCAAAGACCCTGGCCACCGTCTCCATGGCCTCTGCCTTATGGTCAACCCTGGGCTGTGAAGTCAGGGTGTCCTCTTCCCTGATAGAGGCTGAGCCAGAGTAAACATGGGGAAGCGAAGAAGAATCCCACTGTCCCAGAGGAGTCGGCCATGCTCCCCTCTTAGATCCTGTGTCTCCTGCAGTGACACCACTCCTTCCTGTGATTGAGAAAGTGCCATCCCTTCCTGCCATTGCTTCCCTCCTCCCATCCCTCCCCGGCTTTCTGTTGGGGAGCTCTGGGTGGTATGGATCTTGGGGACCTCCCGGGACTTCATTACTGGTCTCCTGGGCTCTTTTCTTTTCCCTCCTCATCTACACAGATGGGTTTTTGTTTGTGTGCAGTGCTGGGGGTTGAGCCTCCTGCATGCTAAGCACACACTCTACCATGAGCCACACTCCCTGCCCTGGATTTTTTATTTTTACACAACAATCAGGTTACTTTAAAGGTTAGAAAGGTTAGGCTCAAAAAATTTTCCCCCCTTTGGAGTGCTGGTGATGAACCAGGATCTTGCATATTGCCATAGAGAGGGGTAAGTACTTAACACTGAGTTACATCCTCAGCCCTTCAAAAACATTCTTTTAAAATGTCCTGGTGCCGTGTCTAAGATCCCTGTGTATTTGTGAGGCTGACCTTGTTTCCAATGTCATTCACCTCATTCCTCCTGCTTTCTCTACTCTAAAGCTGCAGGAATGATTTTACAGGTCTCTGGAGGGGTCTACAGTGCTGCAGTTCATGGCCGTGGCACAGCACAAAAGGATAAAAGGTGAGTTGAGGTTGCCTCAGACTCAATGTCCAGCCCATGCTCCAAGAGGCCCAGTGTGGCTGCCATTCATTGAGAGCCCTCAGCCAAGAAGGTCTCAGATAATGGCCCCAAACGGAAACCTCTGTGGCACCAGGAAGCAAAATTTGAAGAAAATAGAAGGGCATCCAGGCAGGAGCTCATGTAGGCCCATTAGGGGAAGGAAGGTGAGGGTGGCCTGTTAAGTGACTGGTGACCTGGGGCCAATCTAATGCCAAATCAATGCATGGGGAGGACAAAGGCCAGGGCATTCAAAGCAATGCATTTGGATCCTACTTGGACTTGTGGCTTAGTCAGCTCTCTTGTAGTCTCTAACCATGCATTCTGGGAGGTTTTGGACTTGTGGCTTCAAAAGTCCCTTAGCTCTGTATATCCATCCCATACACACCTCTGGCTACCCCCCCCCCCACCCACACTATGGAATCACTGTCTAAGTTGACCTGAAGTTGTGGATCTTCTGGAATACTATGAGTTACTAGAAGGTTCAATTAGAATGACTTCAGAATATTGAGACTCATGAAAGAGTTCAGATCATGGGCGGTTGCATTTCTATAGATCACATCTAATGTTAGAAAACACAGTGACTCAGACTGGAGGGTATTTCTCAGATAACTGTAGAACTGGCAAATCATTGCTGGCTGTGAGCAAGAACCTCAGATCCTCATCCAGTGGACTGGTCATGGGGCGATGGCTTCTAGAGTGAGTAGCCAAAGGCAGAGAAAGATGAAAACCCAACAGCAATACTCATCATATCTACTCTGATTGTGCCCTATGTGATGTGGAAGGGACTAAAGGCAAGAACAATAGGAAGCGAGAATCACTGGGGACTGTGTCAGAGGCTAGTGACCATGGTCCAGCCTGTGGGTTCCCAGGGTGCATATCCCTCCTCAGGCAGCACCCATGCCTAATCCCATCAGCTGAAGTAAAAAATCTCATCTTAATCAAGTCCACATGTGTATGATTCTTCCTGAATACAGCTCCTTAAGTTCAGTTCCTCTGGGTCCTGACGTGAACCCAAGAAAAAGATGTGCACTCCCAACCTAAACTTAAAGATAAAGGCTAGGAAAGCCATGAGCAACAACCCTGATCAAAAAGAGGAGAGAGCATGCACGGGTTGAAAGAGAGCGTGCGTGAGTTGATACCCAGCACTCAGGGAAGCCTTGGAATTTTGCTCCCACGTGGTAAAACTATGCCCTGCATCTGAAATCACCCAAGGGTGCCTGGGAGATCCAAGTGGGCCTAACTGGGCCACAGGCAGCAAACTCCTTGCAGCTGGAAGATTCAATAACTGCAAGAAAATGCTAAGAAAAACAACATAAGATTGATAGGTATAAACGAAAAGGAAGGTGATAACACAAATAATATCAAGAAGCTATTTACAGAAGTAATAGCTGATAATTTCCCAAACATGAGAATGGAAACTGACATACGGATCACTGAAGCATATAGAACTCCAAATAACCATAAGAAAATAAAACTACACTCACACATATAATAATCAAAATTTCAGAAGTCCAACAAAGAACAGAATAATAAAAGCTGCTAGAGAGAGATCACCTAGAAAGGAAAGCCTATCAGAATCATAGTAGACTTCTCAACACAAACAATGAAGTCAAGAAGAGTATGGAGTGAAGTATTTTAGATCCTAAAGGAAAATGACTTCCAACCCAGACTGACTACCCTACAAAACTGTCCTTCAAAATAGATGGAGAAATAAGATAATTCCATGACAAAGAACAGCTGAAGAACTTCATGAACACCAAACCAATCTGGCAAAGAATACTGACATTCTCACAGACATAGGAAAAAACCACTAAGCAAGGCAAACAATTAAACAAAAAATCAACAGCAGAAAGATAACATGTCAAAAGTAAACAATATATTTCAGTTATAATGATTAATGTAAATGGTCTCAATTCACCAATTAAAAGAAACAGACTGCAAGAATGGATCAAGAAACAACATCCAACTCTGCTGTCTACAAGAAACCCATCTAACCCAAAAGGAAACTCATAGACTGAAAGTCAAAGGATGGAAAACAATATTTCATGCAACAGGAACAAAAAAAAAAAAAGGAATAGCTATTCTGTTCTCAGACAATATTAACTTCAAACCAAGAATGATCCAAAGAGATAAAATAAGGCCACTACATACTAATTAGGGGAAAACTTCAAGAGGAAGAAATAACAATCTTAAATATATATGGACCAAATTTGGGAGCACCCAGCTATACAAAACAAATATTAACAGAAATGAAACATCAAAGAAGCAATAACACAATTATAATAGGAGACCTTAACATGCCATTGACACAAAGGGACAGATCAGCTAGACAGAAAATCAGCAAAGAAATAACAGAACTGAATCTCACCTATGAACAAATGGACTTGGTGGACATATACAAAGTCAGCAGCACATGGAACGTTCTTTAAAATAGATCATATTCTAGCCCACAGAACATGCTTAAGTAAATGTAAAAGAACTGAA